CGAAATGAATCCAACAACAACAACAACAACAACAACAACAACAACAACAACAACAACAACAATGAATCGCTCTCGCACTCACACTCGTGAGTGCACTCATTGCGCCTCGGACTCATTCATAAAAAATCAGCTCCCGATGGCCATAATATATTCGGCACTTGAGAAATAGCGTCCCGTGCCAAGGCAACAACAGCTGCCGCAACAGCAACAGCAACTGCAACAGCAACAGCAACTGCAACATCTGCAAGTGCAACAGCAACTGCAACTGCAATTTTCTGGTATTTTTGGATCATTTGGTAAACAAATCAAAGTCGAGTGCAGAGCAGTGAGTGTATTTTAAGTTTTATTAGATATCTTAATTTGACGCTCGAGCATTACGTAAAGGTGTGGCAGCCAGAGAGGAAACAGGTGCGGAGAGTTGGGCAGAGTGTGAAAAGCTGTTGTACATGTTCTCCAGCAAATCTGGCAATTGCGATTGTCTATATTGTTGTCTGTTTTAATACCCTGCGTATAGTGAGGATGCAAAAGAAGGGTATAGTGGCTCGCAGTTTGCATATATATATGTATGTATGTATGTGTCTGAGGGTATATTGGTTAAAGTGAACAACAAGCAACATGATGAAATATATAGTTTTTGAGTTGATAAAGTACAATAAAATTGGATCTGGAGAAAGAGCAAGGTATAGTAATAATAGATAGATAATAATAGATAGTATTAAAGTAGACTGATATTCGTTTGAAATTGATGTTATTGAATTGTCTACTACAATCTCATTTAGAATTACAAAAACACTCAACTTAGTTTTATGTCTAGGGTATCTACTAGTCTGGTCCGTATTTATCACGTCTTTTGGTGTCTTATGTTTGAGAGGGCTCAAAAACCTTGTTCAAGTGCATGATAATCGTAGAGAAATGAAAGAGCAGTAAAAATCAAGTGTTTCATAATTAAGCTCAATAGAACTATTTACAGATACAATATATATGTACATATATGGAAAGTACTGCAGAGTCGATATCTATTTGTCTCTCTGTATACAAAGTGGAGTATCGATTAATTCAAGAGCGAAATAATTGAAAATGTGAATGAAGGCAAGCCATGAGCACGTGCTGCATAATTTGGATTAAAATAATGGTTAAACGACAAACATTCATTTTAAACTTGAGTTTCTATTAGTAAGATCCAAAATATTTAAGAGCGAGAACTTTGAATAATTGTTAGCTTTGACTTCTTCAAAATGACGGCATGACTGTATGCTGATGTGTCCGAGAAATACCCGAAACTATTTATTAAAATGACTAAAATGTATATATTCTATAATATCTATGATTGTGTTTTGTATTTAAACATAGTATCATTACTTTCGATAAACTTACCACAATACAAACTTATTCTTAACTATTCCATAACGATTGTAATATATAGAACCGTTGTTTTATTGTGGGTCTCCCGTACTTTCCTTCAGTTGAGATGTCTTTTACAAAGATAATATCGTATCACTAATAGGAAGTAGGAGGCGAGTCAGTTAACAGCAAACAACTCTGTTAACAGCGCCTCCTACGGTTAATATCAGAGAGCTAGTCTGTTAACGGCAGAGAGTGACTCTGGTAACAGCCGATAGCAACACTAACATTAACAGCAGAGAGGGGCTTACTCTATTAACAGCGGACTGCGACACTCACTGTAAAGAGCGCTTCCAACTTTTAGTAGTGTTGGTGTGAGGATCAGAGCTTGTGCAAAGCTTTTGCGTGTTAGCTAGACGCTGAGGGAGGGAGACAGAATGACTGCATACCGGGGTGTAGTTGCGGGTGTAAATCAATTATACAAAAATTTCATCAGATGCCTTTTCTATTTGTTGCATATTTTGAAGATTATTGAATTTTGTTAAATTTTTTTACTTTTAAATTTTTTACTTTAGCACACGTTTTAGATTGAATATTGAGTACTCAAAGTAAGAAGCAGTGCAAATCAACTTCAGTGCAAATCAACTTATGATTATTTTATTTTCATTTAAAATTGTATTTACTGAATTCGTGCTCGAGGCAATTGCATGCTATAAATTGACTTATGCGTTAGAGAAAGCAATTTATTTATTATTCCTTTATTGGCTCGCAGCAAGGCTCGAATCATGCAACATATTTTACATAAACTAACAATATTTTTAGATAAAAGGAAATTCTCCAATTTAGTTGGTCGACTAAAATAATTAAAATTGCATCAGATATCATTTATCATTTATCAATTTACCAGGTGCAAAAAATATTTGGGCAACAAAGTGATGGACAAACATACACACATGCACAAATGTATATAAACATTGGCTACATAGTCTATATATGTATGTATATAACAAATTACAGGAATTGTTCAAATTTTTCACTCAACGACTATTAATTTGCAAATGCTACCGCTACAGCAAGGTGAAAAATAAAAAAATATATAAAAAATGTACAAACTTTGCTATCAATAAAAAATGTTGCACCTGAGTCTGGGCAAAACAAAAATTCGAACAATGCAAATCAACAAAAATGTTGTAAACAATTTCGAATAGCTTTGCATTTTTTATTATTTTCTTTTGCATACTGCATTTAAATGCACATTTCCCGGCAAAAAAGGAAAAATGAAAATGAAACCAAAAAAAAAAAAAAAACAAAAAACAAAAAATAATTTTTTTTTCACAAAAAGTATTGGAAATCAATTATTCATGCACTTTTAGAGCGGTCAAAAATGTAATTAATATGTAAGAGTTGTCTGTATTTTGTCTGTCGGGCTCTTTGGCTGTCCGCCTGTCAGCTAGGCATTTTTCATTAAATTTATAGACTATCTGGGAGCACAATAAATAAAATTGCCCAAGAAATAAATAAACAAAAACTTTCCAAAAATTTGCCGGCGCGCTAAAAAATTAAAATCAAGCCACAATTGCACGGGTAACCCCCACTCGGTCTTCTCCTCCCTCTCTCTATCTTGCTCTCTATTTTTATGTGTGTGTGTGTGTGTGTGTGTGTGTGTGTGTGTCTATGCTTCCTTGCACTGGGCACGCCTCTGCACCAAATGGTATATGCAACAATGTATTCGCCATAAATAATATTTCAACGGCATTGGCACTGTGTGCCAGCCTCTTCCTCTCCTTCCAGCACTCCCTTACCCCTTCTAACCACCACTAGCTCCATTTCGCTCTATCTCCCTTTATCCCGCAGTTAGCTGCCCGTTTTTTTGTCAGCCATGTGCAAACGTGTAAACGTTCACGTTGTGCAGCCAAAAAGTATGCCACATTTTTGCACATCATTAAATATATTTTGTGTGAGCTGGATATATAGAATTCATAGCGAAGAGGAAGCAAATTTGTATAGAGTTTGCTATTATATTGAGTTGGCAATGAATTTATAGATATTGCCTCTAATCTGAACACAATTTTCCGCGTCTTAAAATTGATATAGAATTTTGTTTTTATTTTAAAAAATGTTAAGGCTTATTTTGCTCAAAAGATTATTTTGTCTTTAATTCATCTAAAATATGAAATTTCAATTTGTTTTATTTAATTTACATTTGATTTGAATGTAGATCTGTTGCTTGTCAGATTCTCGAGCTTTGTTTGTTGCTTTCTCAAGATGTAAATGTCTAAGATATTTTGATATAAACAGTTCTTTAATGGAACATCTTAACAGTTCACATAATACCTATAGATTGATATATAATAGCTATCCTTTCTAGAAATATACTCATCTTCAATACTACAATTATATCATACAGCTGTCTTTTTGAAAATATATACATATTAGTAGTAAATGGTATTAGTTGCTAGGGCCTTAACTAGAATAACAGGAAACTTTAACACCTCTTAAGGTCTAAAATTGACAATATATAATATAATTTTATTGGGAATCTCGCAAAGCCTCGTTATGGCTTGTAATCAAACATGCTTCTCTAATTTACATTGCCATGAAATGTTGAATAAAATATACACTAAATTTATACTAAATTTTATACAGAATATATACAAAATATATAATAAATGTATATATACAAAATATATATAAAATAATATATATATATTTAATATACATATACTAAATACTTTTAAAATATATACTTTACTTTCTTGACAAATAAATGTTATACTCAATAAAATAAAAATATCAATTATTTATTTATTAAATATAAACTAACTACTTATTATACTATTGGCAGTCGCGGTACTACTTCAATGAGCATAGCTGTATAATATAACTAACTCTTAATAGTCAAGTTTATGTCGAGAGAGAAAGGAATGTTCGACTGGAAATTCGGCTTGCCTTTTATGTCCAACCTAATTCCTTCTCTATAAACTTATCTCTCATTTACCCTTGCATATTATTTCATATTGCAAATTAAATGAATTTAGCTAAAGTTCTTCTGCGTGCCTACCTCTCTTTCTCTATTTCCCTCTCTCTTACTCTCTCAGTCCGGTGAGTAAATCTGCGGTCAGATTCCATTCACTTGGCTATTAAAAGTTGGTTAGCTAATTTGAATCAAAACCATGGCAATGCAATCAAAAAGCGGGCCACTTCACTGCCTGTCATATATCACACTTAAGGTTATGGCCAGGCAGACGTAGACGTAGGACAACAACACCAGCAACAACAACAACAACATGAGCAAAAGCAAACAGACGAGTTTTTCTAGCTGTGTGAGTGGAAACTCAGCCAAAGAGAAGTCGCATAAACACTTGAATATAATTGTGGAAATTACAAAGAGCACTTGAATACACACAGACTGATACACACACTCACACAAACAGACACACACAGTCACAGTCTCAGCCATTCGACTGGGTCCTTTAGCTATCTGGCTTGTTGTGCCGTGCACTCCACTTAATTAAACCAAAAAACTGTTGATATTGTGTTATTTATGCATTCACTACTACTGCTACTACTACAGCCTTACCTATTGGATCCTACCTAGCTACGTTATATATAGAGCAAACCTGTTTGAAAACTCCCACGTTTCCCCTCTCTCGTTTCAGGTGCCATAAAACTTTGCTGGCCTTTCACAATTTGCGCGCAGCTGTTTCGCTGCTCCTGCTGGCCGTTAATAGTCTCGAGCTGGCCAGGAGTCTGCTGCCCCAGCGCCGGACAGAGCAGCTGTATCAGCTCTTTGACACAACGCCCAAGGAGCTGAATGTTCTGATTATCATTGGCACGGGCACCGTGCGGAATGCCCTCGCTGCCGTCCTGTTGACAATTATGCTAATGTGCTATCATCGTGTGCTCGAGCGCAAAAAGATGACAGGTGCGTCTGACTGGCTTCTATTCCCACTCTTTGTCCGTCTCTCTCTCTCTCTCTCTCTCTCTCTCTCTCTCTCTCTCTCTTTCTGTTTGTTATTGTGTGTCTGCTGGTCAGATAATTTGATGCCAGCTAAATTAATCAAACACCGTCTCATTTCGTAGACTTTCTCTACGGCAGTATCGCCATAGAAATGTTGATTTTTCTGCTGCGCATCGATGAGCTCGCCGAGGTGGCCTATTACGAGGAGCTCCTTGAGCTGGAGACCTGCCTGCTCAGCGTAACGGTGATTTGTCTATTGGTCTTGGCTGCACTGGATGGATATACCATTTATAAAGAGGTGAGTACGCCATTTACATAAATACAAATTTGATATCATAAATCATAATCAACAAATTAATTAGAAATGGGCAGCTCCAAGGAGACGGAGTCGAACGAACTTTAATTCTCACTCTCTGAATGGGCTCAAATAAGAAGAATCAGCGAATCCTAGCGCTAGAGAACGTTTTGATAAATTTTGTGTTCATAAATTGGCGAGCAATGTTGGTCTTCTTCTTTCTATATGGTGTATTGTGCCATTGTTAACTCCAGACATTTTCTTCTCATGATCGATCGTTTCTGGAGAATAATGTTGTTTATGCCTCTCCTCTGCTATGCGACCATACCAACACTCACGAGTTTTGTCTGAATACATTGAGATACATTAAAAAATAAAGGCATAATGGTATACATATATATTGTACTACTTTTTTAATTGAAATCTTGATTCCGAGCTTAGAGATAAAAATCCCATCCCATAAAGTCTATATTCGACGTACCCATCTGGCAACTCTTTTATCGATCAATAGAGGCAGACACAATACGCCGTATAGGGCTAAGGCTGCCATTCGAGAGATATCATATTCAAAAAGTGATGTCAATAAATCTACTTGAACCAACTAAAATGATAATCATGTTATCGAATATGGGCAGCCTTGTCCCTATAAAAACAATCGAAGATTCCTATATATTCTTAATCACGAGGACTATCGGAGTCAACACAGAATTGTTCATCTGTCCGTCCTATACGCATAAGCATGCGTCTGTCTGTCCGTATGAACTCATTGATTTATATCGATAACTAATATAATTTTTCTATTATCGATACAAGTAGCTAATTTATTCACATTCTTAATTTACAGCTTTCCATATACTAGATTCAGATTTTGGTAATAAGTATAGAACAATATTCTTTGTTTGACTGTCTCTTTTTCTCTCTGTCTTTTCTCTTTTTGACTCACTCTCTGCCTCTTTCTGTATCTCTCTCTCTCTCTGCTTCTTTCTGTATCTATCTCTGTCTGTCTTGCTCTCTCTCTCTCTCTTCCTCTTGTCCGTTCGTTTTCTTTTTCTCTTCCGTTCACTTTCCCTCTCTTACTTTCTCTCGCTCTTTCCCTGTCTCATTCAGAAAACCCGCTTATCGAATTAACATTCATGCATATATGATATTGCCCAGCAGATAGTTAAATATTTAAAGAGGCGGTAGAAAGAGGCGAACCATGTGGAAAGTGGATGGCTTCGGTCGTTGTGTCTTCTCATGCTTGACATTATTTCCGCTTGAGACCGGAAATCCAAAGTTGCCACACAGGACACACAAGACACACAGAGCATGCCACACGAATGCACAGATATCCACACAACAACAACAACAACAACAACAGACACTAAAAGCGGCACAGCGCAATAAGCGCTCCAAAGTAGCAAAGCAAATAAAAATATTAAACTTACATTGGGCGCCTCTGCCCTGCTTGCCTCTTTTGCCAAGACAGTGGGCGTGGTGGGGTGGTGTGGGCAGACAACATGGACTTCATATAAAGCTCACAGCTTACGGCTGTTTATACATTCAACCGCCGGCTGCTCCTGATCCTCCTGCTGCTCTGGTCCATAAACGAGCCGGCGCTGTGCACCAAAAAACTTGCACCTTAACTTTGTGCGCGGCCATTGTTATGCAGCCAAATGCACTAATGCTGTTGCATACCTGAAGATGCAGCCGAATACCGAAACTAGTTCAACTGCCACACGTGTGTGGGTGTCCCTCTTGTCTGTGTGTGTGTGTGTGTGCTGCGTTAAAGTTTGCTAAAATGCGGATATTCAATATTGATCAGCAGGAGGCGAAGCGAATGCGAATATTTCTTTATTTTTTGTTAAGTATATAAAAATTAATTGTCTTTAGGTATATTACATATACAGCGGCGGTCATCAAAATATTTGCACGACCAAGCATAAAATGTAGAGCAAAATAAATCTGCGATCTTGAATATGTAACTTAGATTCATTCACAAGTTAAGCAGAAACTCGGATATAGCCAAAGGATCTTAATATGTTATTAAAAAATACATTTATAGATGGACATCAAAAGATATAGATATATAAATAGGTAATAGATAGATTTAATAATTTATTTTAATTTCTTTTTTAAATCTTAAGTGGAAAATAATTGAGTAAATAAGACAGACAGACAGACAAGTACAAATAGACAGCAAAAGATGAATAGTTATAGATATACTTATAAATAGACAGACACAATAAATTTACTATTTTATTGTTTAATTATTATTATTAATATTTTTAATTATTAGATTAAATATTTTACTTGAATTTATTTATTTTTCTTTTAATTTTTAGATTAAGTATTTTATTTGAATTTATTTTCACATTATTATCAACTGCAAAATCTAGTCTACTTTATATTATTATTCAATTATTATTATTATTATTTTTAATTATTGGATGAAAGATTTTTTTTTGAACTTATTTTTGTATTTTTTAATTATTAAAATAAGTATTTTAAAAAAATTTTTTTTTACAAATTACTATTAACTGCAGAATCTACTTAAAATTCGTACTTCTACAACTTACGGATTATAATAGATGTTCAGGTCTAGAGAATTTTGAATCGAGTTTGCCAAATTTTGCTTCTTAAGCCTTAAGGGACGAACAGGGCGCAGTATTCTTGGGAGCATACCTAGGCCTCTTAGCAATTGTTCACTGCATCTGCTAGTATGCCTTATAGAATTAAGTAAATAAAATGAATAAATTTATAAGGTATTCCCTATAGATAGACCGCTCTTTATGCTACAGCCAATTAGGCGATTTTGATTCACTAATAATTCAGTCAATAGCTTGAGAAACCCGTTTTCATAAATAACTTGTCTAAAAATAGTACAGCTTATCCCTATCTAAAAAGGTTCTCACAACCCTACGAGAAAGCCCTTTGAATGTAGGCTTAGTGTTAACACACAATATATATTTATTGAGCTTGGGTTCCATATTCTTTTTATTGATCCGTTCTGGTAAATTTATGTAAAGTCAGGCGTCCTTCTCTGCTGGCTGCCATCTCTGTCCTTCACTTGTGTTCCAAGATATTCATGCACATGTCGTATGAGTAATATTCAAACATCAAATCAATGCCAGCTGAGGCTAAAAAGCCAATTGAAAGGCAAACTTTGGTTGGAGCAGCACACCAGCATCTTCCTGCCAAAAAAAGAGGAGAGAACTATGTAAATTCTCATGAAGTGCGCCCTTGAGTATGCTATACATTTGGCAAGTGGTTCGTTGCGAGGGTTTTTCGAGCAAATGCAGGCAATGGAATTACGCTGCATAAACGATGGGAACCAAGGCAAAGGAAAAAGAAAACACAGCCTTTGGCATACAATTGAGCGCTGGACATTTGTCAACATTTTCCGCAGCACCGCCCCTCCGTTCGCCATCCACTAGCCAAAGTCACAACTAAGAAGAGCCGGAAACTGCGGCAACTGACAAAATGCCGCTTCACGTGCTCCGCTTATCTGTTACTCCACGAGAGCCACGGGAAGGCCCAACCTAATTTGGATGCCGCCATGCAGTGCATAATTTTAATAAAGGAAGTGTGCGGCAGCTCTTGTTTGTGGGCGTCGCAGAGGCAACAGCAGATGCGGGGCGTGTACTACAGAGAGGCGGTGCGAGGTAGCTGGTAGCTACTTGTAAAATGAGAATAGCTGAGCCGAGGGTGTGTGCAAATAATGCCATGCAACGCTGAGCGCAATCCCGAAAATACAAACAACGAAGACGGCGTACAAGTTGGGGTATATTCGACTATTGAATACGCTATCGTTATGCATAAATAATATATGTAGTTAGTTCTAATAGTTAATGAACATAGTCAATGTTTATAAATTTAATTGAATTTATATTTTTGTTCAGTGTGTAATCTTATAGCTAATTAAAAATAAATAATTAAAAATAAAAAAATAAAAGTAAATAGCTTAAGTAAACTACAAATCCAACAAATAATTAATGAAGTAAGATTATAAAATGTCTGCACAGATTTCTTAAAAAAAATGGTTTAAATAAAATAAGAATTTAAAAAACCCCTAAAATTATTTAACATACATACTTCAAAAATTTTTAAAATAAAAAAATAATGCAATAATATTATAAACGATATTTTATTTTATTAATTTAAGTCATTTATTAATTTATTTATATATTTAAATTTATTTATAAATTTAATTTAATCGAATTTAATGTTCTTATAATAAATTTAAAATATTTTTGTAAAGTTTAAATAATGTTCACATACAAAATATTATTTAATAAATGAAATTTGAATGTTTTCATTATTTAAACTTTACAAAAATATTTTAAATTTTATATTTACATTAAATTGAATTAAATGAAAAATTTTAATAATCAGTTTCCTTAATGAAAATGAATTATCGAAATACTCATTAAATAGTAAATCTCTATGATAAAAAAATTAAAAATTATAAAAAAAAAAATTATTATAGATATGAATTACTTTAGTTTATAATTGGATATATAAGTAACCCCGACTTGCATTAGAGTATAGTTAAAACCGGTTGCAGATTTTGCAGTTGTTATTGTTGTTGTTGTTTTAGTTGTTGTTAGAAACGGATGTTGGGTTAGGCGGTTGATTGTATATATATATATATATAAATATATATATATATATATATATATATAAATATATATATATATATATATATATATATATATGTGGGGGTGTCTATCTGACGAGGGTAAAGCGCTTGGGCCAGGAAGGAAAAGAGGCAGAAGAGTAAAGGCGTGGCTTTCAGTGCAGTTTGCATTTGCATTTGCATTTTGCATTTTGGTAGCGAGCGAGCGCGTAAAATTAGCTGAGCAAATAGCCGAGGAGTAGAAGTGAAGTGAAGGACTCACCCGACGTTGACAATGCAAAAGGTTTATTTAATTTAACAAGGGATTATCATAAAGCACGGTCGAGGCGTGGGCGGTTGGGAGTAGTGCTGCGCTCAGTGCTGGGATTTTAATATGTTTACATTTTAATTGAGGTTAAGCGCAGATTTGCAGCTCTTCGAAATCCTTTTGCACTGGCCAAATATTTTATTTATGTCAGTTTGGCAAAGCGTTTGCATACTTCAAGGCGTTGAGCGCTTGACCGCACCACGAGTGCCACAAAAACGGCTCGCTTTAGACTTGGCTAAGTGCAACAAATGCCACAACACAACTGCCACAGCAGCTGCAGCAAAGCTGCCAACCTGCAACAGTTTTTATCCAAAAAAAAAAAAAAAAAAAAAAAGACAAAAAAATAGGAACAAAATAGAGAAACACAACTAGACTGGCCAGACGAAGTGCCATTGTTAAGGCGTTGAGCTGCATACAGAACGTGTTGCACATCAAGAGCATGGTGTAAAAAAATAAAAATATGGCTAGTATGGTGTCAACTGCAACTGACTGAGAGATACTCTGTAATCAGCAAGTGATTTTAGAATATTATACTACGTTGAGTCTATTGGTATTTTTTATAAATCATATTCAATGAAACACACAGGGTAAAAAGGGATACATTGTATTGTATTATACTATTATTTTTATTATCTTATCTTATGTATGTATTAAAATTATTTCTATAATTACTATTTTTTTATTATTTTTTTCTTCGTTCTTTTTTTTTATTATTATTATTATTATTTTTTTTTTTTTACAACACATATATTTGAATATTTAACTAATCTTTATTTGGATTCCTGATTAGAGTTTTTTTAAAGCCAAATAAGCGATATCAAAGTAAATTAAGCATCAACTGACAATCAGCCGTTACGTAAAAAAATTTTGGACTGAGTTTTATAAATTTTCTTTACTGCACAGTTATATATATATTTTGGGCTATTTCAAAATTATTTATATAAAAATATATTAAAAAATTCTTGTCAATTATAAGTGACAAGACAACATATAATATGCAATATTATTTCCTTACAATATTTCTCAACCACCCTACATTTGCTCTTCGCATGGGCATACACATTATTATAAGTGGCAGTAACACATGCGAGCAAGACACTCAAATGTCATCTTATCTTTTTGCATGGCAGACGAGGCCACTGAGAGGCAGCTTGGAATTTGTTGTTAGAGCTTAAGGCCAGTTACTAAGTTGCTTTTGAGTTATGGTCCAGTTTTTGGCTGGCTTTGTCTTCTTTTGGAGCGATGCAAAGTTGTGTGAGCCGTCAGCTCGGGCTGATGCGAACTTCATCAAAAGTTGTTTAATCTGGTAAATCTGCTGGGACTTATATATGATTCTACAATCTTATACTGCAGCGTTATCGGGACGATTATCTGGAGGATTACGACTGCATCGGCTACAAGCATACGCTGGCCACATTCTATTCGAAGATCTGCTTCTGGTGGCTTACTTCGCTGCTCTGGCTGGGCTACAAGGAACCGCTCGAACAGGAGGATCTGGGCCAAATGCGATTGGAGGATAGCGCCAGAGCGCATTACGATCGATTTTTATATATATACACGGAGGAGATGGTGAGTTATTAATATTTATTGATTAATATTATTAATATTTATAATATTAGTAATTACGAGTAATAATTTAAATTGTCTTCTGCGAGATATCTGTAAAACTTTATTAATTATGTTTACCAGAATATTTCTAAAATATCAATTAATTGATAATAATTTATAAAGTTTGTAATACTATTTTCTATGAATATTCAGATCAACTAAACACGCTATATAAGCGAGAAAGAGATAGTTAGCGACAGATAGATAGATAGAGAGAGAGATAGATAGATATAAAGAGAGAGAGAGAGAGTGAGAAAGACAGAAGCAGAGAGAAAGAGAGAGAGAGAGCGAGTGAGAAAGACAGAGAGAGAGAGAGAGTGAGAGTGAGAAAGACAGAAGCAGAGAGAGAGAGAGAGAGAGAGTAAATAAGAGAGAGAGATAGAGAGCACAGGGTAATATTGAATTTCTTAATTGAGTCGTAACCCCAGGGAAGAGTTGTAGGAACGTTAATTTTTGATCAAAGTTGATTTATTAAATATTGTTTTACATATGATACAATTACATATATTCATAAATATATTCATTAATGTGCTCACGCGTATTCGAAAGTCTTTGCACTTATGTATTGTGCTAATAACCTATATAAAAAAGGCATTAAGCGGCCACTGAGCTCATTGACTGTCATTTAATTAAAAATTATACATTAACAAAAAAGAAAAGCAGTAAAAGAAAATAATAAATAAATAATTAAATGCGAATGGCAAAAAAAAAAAAAAAAAAAAAAACAACAAAAACACGAAGCCCTGTTACAATTGAGTCTTCTTTCCGGCTTGGCGTGGCTTGGCCTGGCTCTGTTGAATTTCCATTAAGAAAATATTGTATTTCATTTGCAAAAAGCACAACAAGCAAATTGCTTAATTATTTATTTAAATGCAATGCCGCCCGTTGGCCAGCGGCAATAAATTATCAATGCAAATAAAATATATATAACTGTATATACCTTTGTGCATATATTTGAATATATCACGCGATGGGCCAGAGATGCGGCCATTTGCTTGATAACAAAGTGAAAGTGTGGTCTTTGTCGAGTTTGCTTCAGGCATACCCTGCAATACAAAAGAATTCGTAAAGGGTCGTCTGGCAAAGTAGATAGAGATATTTGAGTTTCAACAGGCGTTGCGTTGAAGAAAAGAATCAGATGGGGCACAGAGACAATAGACGAGGAGAGAAGATTAAATGGATAAGAGAGAAGAGAAGATTCAAGATAAAGAAGAATAAAATGAGAGAAGAGGGGAGCAGGAATAGAGAAGATAAACAAGAAGAAAGAACACATAAAAGTGAAAGTGGAAGAAAGAAGAAGGAGTGAGGAGAGTAAACACAGAACACAAAAGAAGAAAAGAGAGCGGCAAGTGAACAGAGACAAAAAACTAAAAAAATATAAGCAAAGAGAGAGAGAGAGAGAGAGAGGACAAGGTAAAAGAAGAGAGCAGATAATTTTATTAAAATAAATTTTGTAATATATTCCTTGAAAATTATTCTTCTTTTTATATATGTGAGCTCTACAGGGTATTTTTCTCGCTGGTATTTCAACCAATCTGGAATTGTCTTGGCTTGTGTGTGTTTTTAAATGTTAATTTATTTGCCGCATTTTGTGCGCAATTTTTAATGACAAAATGGCAACTGACTGTGTAAATTATTATGAAATGCCAGCGAACGATGTAGCCAAAGGATATATTAAACGTCTGGCATTAATGTGCTTATTAATTACACTTAATAGGAGCCACATGGCGTATACGTAAAATCTAAAGAGTATATATGTTGAAAGTGGACCGATAGTGTATATTAATCAAAAATTAAAAATATTGAAATATGGAAAGAAATTTTATATACTTTAATCATATATATATATATGTTAATTATATTTATTGCAAAAATATTTATGTATATACATACATATATGTATGCATATATTAAATTTTTTTTTTTTAGTGCAATGTGCATATACTGAACTACAGTCGAGTCTCGATAGATTAGTTTTTGTTTTTCGATTTACAGAGAGATTTCAAATTATTGAAATTATCGAGAAAGAGTTTTTTCAATTTTTTTTTATCACGATTTTCGATTTGGAAATGTAGCATTAAAATTTGATATACCATACTAAGTTTCTACAAAATCTAAATATTAAGTGATTTTAATTTAGTTCTTTGTGTTAACTTCAATATCCATACAAAATAAGGAAATCATCTCCAAACATTCCGAACCAGAGCAAAGCTTTAACTCTTGCTTAATTCATTTATTGTCTAATTATATTTTAATAAATATAATAATACAACAATTTTTAATAGTAAAAACCTTTTCCGTTTACAAATAATATATATATATAATATAAATAAATAATATAAAAATAAAAAATATTTTTATAATTTATTTAATTTCTCTCCACTATTGTGTTTGCAGAAAAAATCGAATGCATCGCCTTCGCTGTGGTATTGCTACATAAAGAACAGTTGGCGCATGTTTGCGCTGGGCGGCTTTTTGAAGTTGGCCGGTGATTTATTTGCATTGATTGGTCCGCTGGCCATACAGCAAATAGTGCAGTATATTGAGGGACTCTATGCGGCGGCACAGGAAGAAGTTCGGGCGCAGGTTCATGCACAGGCAGCTACAGCAAATAGATCAATACCATTGGAAGGAGTTGGGGGGCCTAATGCGGCCGCAGATGGTGCCGATGTTGATTACTACGAAGATTATGATGTTGCCAATGATGATGGGGCCTACAATGATATGGGTTTGGGCATGGGCATGGGTATTGGCATTGGTGATGTGCGAATTTACTATGCCAGATGGTCGGATTTGCTAACAAATGGCTGGAGCATTGCTTGGCTGGTGTTATTGGCCGCATTGGCGCAGGCCGCATTGTCGCAGGCCTCCACGCATGTGCTCAACATGACGGGCATCAGGATTAAAACATCGCTACAGGGTCTAATTTATCGCAAAAGTTTGCTTCTAAATGCCAGCAGCGGTTGTGGCAACAATGCCGCTGATGATGACGACAAACCATCGACTCCTGCTCCTGCTGCTCCTGCTCCTGCTGCTGCTGCTGCTGCTGCTCCTGCCACGGCCACTACTTCCGCAGCTGATGTACAGCAAAATGGCAAAAACATTAGGTTGACTCCCAATGATAAGCCTGTCGAGGTGGCTGCCACACAACAACAACAACAACAAAGGCAAACGGAGCGTTCAGGCGGTGAGTGTTTGGCTTTGCTGCCAACTCGAACTCGAACTCATCCCACGCATTCATTTATCCATCCACACATCCCCCTTCCCCCTATTCCCACTCCCCTTAACCACAATCTCTATGTGTGCCCAAGTTCTGTTTGACAGAGGCAAATGTGCGTTTGGTGTTAATTGAAAGTTTTACGGCTGAAGTGTTTGCTACCAAATGTCCACGTGTAATTGGCTTAAGTGGGCGTGGCCATGTGAATCGTTATTTGTGTTCAGTTGCGCCGAGAGACTGAGTCCGCTTTTCGTATCCAGTAAAGACAAATTGCTTTTGCGAATGGCTTAGTCCAGTCAAAAGAGTTTAGCTTCATGGCGATACACGTTTTTATGACAATCGACGTGACTCAATGAAATAGCCCAATCAATATAGAACGCTAGCTGATTGATTTCTAATCAGCTCAGCATTAAAGTTAGGGCATTCCAAGTCTATAAAGTTGAGCAAGTCTATAAAGTTGAATAAGAGATTAATGAAATAAAGTTAGTTGATTAATTGATGAAGATAACTTGATGGTTAGTTTAATTAATAAAGTTAACTTAGATAAATAAGAAAATACAAAAATTTTATGCATTATTGGTCAAACAATAATCATGAATTTAAATAATAAGCATTTTTAAATAAATAAAAAAATGATTATATAGAGTCAAAAATTCTATTTTTTTTTTTTAATACAAAATTTTAAATAGTATACAACAGACAATTTAATTTGATTAGAGATATATATATTATTTGAGATATAGATCTTTTTTTTTTTTTTTTTGTTTAAAATTTTTTTATTGAGAAATGATACGAGTTCAAAGGCAGTTTTATTTAAAATTTTTTTTTTTTATGAGGCTTCAAGTATTTGTAGTACATTGAAATAAAAAATCGTAAAACATTTGCTACTAATAAATTGAATAAAGTGCCCTAAAAACATTGCAGCAGCAACTCATGTATAATATATTTATACAAAACTGTTCCACTTTTGGCATACAATTAATTGCCTGTGACCTTAACTAGCACTTAATGTAATTTGTTATTTATTTATTGGCATCGTTTCTTGCACACAGGCCTCGGCGATATTGGTGCCATCACGAATCACATGACGGAGGACACGCTCAACATAATGCAATTCTTTTGGATCGCTCACTATGCCTGGGCTATTCCATTCAAGGTTCGTATCAAAAACTATGCTAATTTACGAGCAACTTGTGTGCCATTTTAGATGCTCGGTCATAGATCGAAAAGGGTATATTGGTTGTGTGTAATGTTGCTCGTTTGTATTTCTTTCTGTCAGTGTTGTAAGTTTTTAATATTGTTTACATTGCACAAATCAGTTTAAAACAAAATACATAAATAAATAAGCAAATAAATTAAGAGAAAGATTAAAATAAAATAAAGTAATTAAAATATTTTAATAAGTAAATAAATTATAAATACAAATAAAATGTATATAAATAAATAAATAAATAAACAAAATTAAATTAAATTAAATTGAGTACGCAAAAATTCTCTTTAATTATAAAAAATATTAAAAAAAGAAACAAAACAATAAATACAGTTGTAAATAATTTAATAATTTGATAATAAATATGTAATAATTAATAATGAATCATAATTAAAAATAAATTTAATAAGACAATAAACAAATAAGTAAATACATTAATATTCAGAAAATAAATAAATAAAAAATAATTGGACAATTAATTTACTGAATATACGTATGTATTTCCTCAGTGTATTGAGTACAAATTTAATTTATACATCTACTGTGCTATAAAGTTACTATATCTTCAATTTGTTGATCCATAAATTCAAAAATTAGTCAAATGAGTCGTGCCCAGTGTCAGCATATCTATATTTCAATTCAATTTACCTGTTTTGTTCAACTTGGGCGAGTATTACACAGTCAACTACATTCGTTTGTAATGCACTCAATTCCTTTTGTTTTTCTGGTCACATTTAGCACTGGGCTTATTTATAACACTCGCCTTGACTTGGACTTGGACTTGGACAATTTTAATCGTGCGCTTAGATTTATTTGCCTGTCTATAAATTGCATTTGATTTGTATTCATTTTCGTGCAATTTCTTATGCGCTGCAAGCAAATTGTATTTGCCTTTGGCATTACAATGTGTTTCCAAAGGCGTTGGCCAAATATTTGCCCTTTGGCTTTAGCTTTGGCCTACAAAGGCCCATTTATAGTTTGTTTGGGTTCAGGGATTTTTATGTAATTGAGCAAACTTGTTAATGATTAAACCAAATACAGAACCCAAACACACACACACACGCATACAAACACACACATACTTTCACGCATAATTAATGCGTATTAAATGTGTAAGTGTGTATGAATTTTGGCATAATTAACAGTCTGGTTGTATTTACTCTAGGCTTTGCCAGTTTCAGTTCCAGTTCCAGTTCCAGTTCGAGTTCTGCCTCCCCATGCATGAATCCTGTCTCGAAATGAATTGATTTGCAAATGTTGCTCGCCCAACTGGGCTTAGGATTTGTGGCTGTGGTGGTGCGTTGGCTCGGCACAATGAACAGTCCATAGTCCTGGCAGCAGCTGCATTATAATTTACTCGTTTGTATGCAGGCCGAATCGGATTTGTCGGCCAGGCTGAATCGTATTTCGCAACATGTTTATATTGTGTAAAAAATTAATTAACATTTAGGCAGCAAACGCTGGCGTGGGCGTTCCCAAGTCGTTGTAATCTATTTGAAATAGATGCAGTTCCAGATTTGCTTGCCACCTCATTTACATCAGCAGCAGCGAAATGCGATTTAGATGTGGGAAATGCTTTTGATAGTGATACTCTTAGTAAACAGAGATTTTGACTGATCTGGGTTATATTTATCTGCCAATTGATTGACTTATTGATTGATGCTCAACTCGGAAATGATATGAAATATCGTAAAATATATCTAGAATATATATACTATATTATTATAGTAATAGTTGACTATTTGCATTGGTTGTCTGATTGATTGACTGACCGATTGACTGACTAGTTGATTGATTAATTGATTCGTTAGCTGACTGATTCAATTAACATTAACATTAACAGAATAATTGTCTGATTCAAGGATTAATTGATGGGTGAATGATTGATTAAAGACAGAATGATTGATTGATTGACTGACTGACCCTATATAAATATATGTATCTGAATAAAAGTTTTTTTTTTACTGATTTAAACTTTCAGTTATTGATAAGAAAAGCTTAAACAATAAATATTCATGAATATTGTAATACAGTAGTATCCGGCTATAACTACGTCGCTATACCCGGAAGATGTTATAACCATATTAGTTTTTCTGAGGACCAGAAAATTCGTCGCAATAACAGTACGGTCGCTATAAACGGAGTCGTCATAGCCGGATTCTACTGCATTTCTCAAATACTATTACTAATAATGATTAACATCTGTTTATATGTTAATATGATAGACTGACTGATTGATTTGCAATTTTAATTTATATAATACATAAATCGATAGATACATAGATTTAGATTTCTCATTTCTCTCACTAGAGAGATTTCTGAGTACTTTGAATATTTAAAAAAATCATAAATCAGTGCCTCAGTCAATCAGTCAATCATAATCGGGAACGAATTATTTTCCTTTCTGCTCTGTTGCTCACTTTCTATGTGAAATCTTAACAATAATATTATAGGGCTTTAATTCGGTTGCGCTCAGCTTCATTATGAACTTCATTATGCCTACTCATGTTGATTGGCCAAATTACGTAGTCACATCATAATCATCTGATGCGGAGACAATATTGCCATGCCAGCACAATTTGCATAAGCAAATAAACTAGTGTCTGAAGTAGCAAATAAATTCTTATCGAATACCAACGCATCTTGTTTGCAGATAGCCCTGGTCATCTACCTGCTGTACCTGAAGCTGGGCATAAGTGCGGTGATTGGGGCCATTGTGTGCATTGTCATTATGACACCGTTGCAGTTCGTCATCGGCCGAGCCATGTCGAGGAATGAGGAAAGGATTGCGGTAAGTGGAAGCACGAAGTAATACGAGTAGTCTAAGGTGACAAAAGCACAATTTAATTAGAGAGCGAACTACAATGAACAAAATTAACTTCAGGCTGCTCCAGCTTAAGCCACAAAACACTTGAAACACAGCAAGAGCCTCACAATCTGTTTGTTTGCCATTTGCCTGCCATTATTTTGCCATTTGCAGCCCAAAATTTGTATTGTGTTTAAACTCGAACTCAAACTCCAACTCGAACACTGACCGACTGACTGCCGCCAATGGCTCATTTAAGAGTTGCTTGTTAACAGATTTGTGGTCAATTTAAAGTAATTGTCAGTTGGTCAGCTTCAGTTAATTGAATTTTGGCTTTTGCTCAGAGTTTCTACAATTATTTGTGGCCAATCTAAGTCTGGACATTTCTAAGCCACCGTCTGGCTTTTTACAACCTGAATGCCCATTGTAAGTGGACAATCCGGTTATAATGGTTTTGCGTAAATGTGTGTAACAGGTGTTTGTATGTATATATATATATAGAGTTTATGTATGTATTTATGTACATATGTATTTTGGATCGGTATAACGGGATGAGTTGATTTAGCTGTATCTGTGTGTCCGTCCGCTTGTCAGTGTGTCCATTCGTTTGACTAGCCGTTAGTTCGTTCACCTATCTCCTCCCGTCTAAGGGATAATAATTTATATTAAATATCATTTAATTTTTCCTCAGAAATTCACGGATGAACGATTAAAGAAAATCCATGACACCTTGATAGGCATAAAAATAATCAAGCTGAATGCCTGGGACGAGGTTTTTCTCAGAAAAATTCAAGCTGCTCGCGAAAAGGAGCTCAAATATCTGAAAAAGGATGCCATGTACTGGACGCTAATGAGTGAGTGGAAATTTTTATATATATAATATAAAATATAAAATATAAAATATAAAATATAAAATATAAAATATAAAATATAAAATATAAAATATAAAATATAAAATATAAAATATAATATATAAAATATAAGATATAAAATATAAAATATAAAATAAAAAATAAAAAATTTGAAATATAAAATATAATTAATAAAATATAGAAATCGATATTGCTATATAGTCTCTATATCTCTCTAGTTAATACGAATTCTCTGCTCTCGTTGCAGCCATTTTGACCCACATTTGCACTGTGCTAATCACATTTGTTACGCTGGCTGTTTATGTTAATCTGCCGCTCGAATCGCGCTCGAATTTCGATGCCAGCCATCTGTTCGCTGCGCTGGCGCTGTTTCAGCAGCTGACGGTGCCGCTGCTGATCTTTCCCATAACGGTGCCCATTATCATTGCCGCGCGGGTGTCCACACGCCGGCTGGAGCGCTTCCTGCACGCACCCGAGATCCAGAAGCAGTTCGAGGGCATACGCAATATGGCGCGCATCCTCAGCAAGAGCGACGCCTCGCTGGACATGTACGAGACGCAGGAGAAGTCGAATATGGCGCTGCGCACGGCCCAGGCGGAGAACCGGCTGAACGAGCAGCGACAGGCGCTGCGCATTCGCATACCCGAGACGCCGCCATCGCCGGCACCGCTGGCTCAATCGGAGCCCATAACGCCGCTGCTGCTGGCGAGCAACGGTGAGGCCGTCGAGGAGAAATCGCCGCCTCTGTTCGGCCACGATCTGGGCCACCAGAAGCTGGTGCAGCATCGCAAGGAACTGTTGCGCAACACGCCCTATGTGGCCATACGGCCGCCCAAACTGTTCGGCGGCACCGTCGAGCGGCCCATCGAGTTTTCGGTGGTGCGTGCCCGCAACACGGACAGCTGGCGGCGCGACTCCCTGCTGCTGAAGATGCCCGACGACATCGCCGTGTCCATCAACGACGGCCTCTTCACCTGGCAGCCGCAGTGCCGGCTGCCCAATGTCCAGCTACACGTTCAGGAAATGGCCATACCCAAGGGCAAGCTGACCATCATTGTGGGCAAGACTGGCAGCGGCAAGACCTCGCTCCTGTCCGCCCTGCTCATGGAGATGCCACTGCTGGCGGGGAATATGTTCTGGCACAAGTGAGTACAAGCTTGAATTTCCATTTTCCATTTGCCATTTACTTCCCCCCATCGGGGGAAAATGGGATTTACATACATATGTATATGTATAATATATGCATATTACATAAAGCGTAAAGCATATTTTATAGAGTAGGCGTTTATACATTGAATAAACATCCACATATGTAGATAGAGTCGGGGACTATCCATCGAAATTCGAAGATAAAATAGAATTGGAATTAAAAAATAAAAAATAAATAAGTTTATCTGGTTTAAAATCAGCAAGCTAATTAATTTTGTTTATCTTTCGCCTTCTCTCGTAATTAATCATAAATAACTTAATAATGATCAGTCCAAGTTTAGCATTTCGTTTATTTATCATCTTCTTTTATGTCTTTATACATTATTTTGAAAGCCATAAAAATCTATTTAAAACAAGTAAGAAGGCTCCAGTCGAGACTGCTCGACTAGGAGATACCCTGAACCCTCCAAGCTGATATTCTAATCATTCTGCACTTCTTCTATGTACACATACATACACATGCACTTATAAGCACGCGCTCTGCTAACTGCGCAGTAAGCAGCGGCTGCGCTTGGGCTGCGCTGCAGTGTGGGCAATATTATGAGAATTTATTTGTTGAATAATTTCTTTTGTAGACATACGATCTTAATGAAACTTTTAGAGCGTAATCATATGGTGAATATGTGTGTACATTCCAAATCACAAGTCTCTAGTACTTGAAATGCGTTTTTTACAAATTGGGGGCGAAGGGGGCGTGGTATCCAAAATCTGTAAATGACAAAATCTTTGTGTCTATTAACTCTATATACAACGCAAATTTTAAGTCTCCAGGTCTAAAAGTGTTCAAACTAGGCTGAAAAAACCAAGTCAATTTTTCGATTATTCTCCATAAAAAAGTTATCGGATGAGTTATCGAAAAAATAAAGCAAACTCGTACTGCCTATGGTATACACGAGTATGCATGCCAAATTTCAGCTCTCTAGCTCTTATATCTTCTGAGATCCTTTTGCTCATACGGACGGACGGACGGACGGACAGACGGACAGGGCTATATCGACTCAGCTCGTCGTCCTGATCAAGAATATATATACTTTATGGGGTCTGCGATGATTCCTTCTGCCTGTTACATACTTTTCACAAAACCATTATACCCTGATTTCCCATTTTCAATCGGTTCAGGGTATAATAACTCAAAAGTTATAGCCGCAAATAAATAGTTATTGTAATATGTATGTATATGTATATGTAGGTGTGTACCTGATTCTGTATAGATACATTTTGTTTATATTTTGATGTAGGTACTGTATATATTTGCGCATATTTGTGCAAATTATTTCCACTTTCATTTGATAATCAAAATACAAACTGTTAAAGGATTTATGCAACCTGAATCATAGCGAAATAGGAACGTGCACAAAAATAGAACAAAATAAATGAACATATTTTTCTTAAGTTTGCCTTAGAGGTTTATTGCTTTGGATAAAGATATTTACATAAATACTTAATTGTGCCAAATTTGCCAATTAATTAAGCAATATTATATGCTAACTGAATTTTTGGAAATACTTAAAATATTTATAAAATTCTCACTTACTTTTAAACGTTTATAAACTGTGAATATATAATTGCATGACTATAGCTAAAATTATAATTTCTACAAAATCTATTTATCCTTTTTATAAATAAAATCAAATATATAAAATAAGGTACCCCTTTAAATGCGCCATAGAGTTTACGACAAAAGCTGCAATAAAACTATATTAAAAAAAAAAAAATATATATATATATATATAAAATATATAATAAAAATATTTATTCATATATATTTATATACATAAAAATAGTACTCATAAAAGTTTACGGTGGTTTTAAAAATATTTAATAAAAAAAAAATATATTTATTTAATATATGTGTTATACATACATTTATTTATTTAATATATTATTAATATTTATATTTATTTTTTTTGTAAATATAATACGCGTAATTGTGTATGTAGGAATAGTTTTGAACTCAACTTTTTTATTTTAATATTTAAAAATAAACAGAATCACTTTGGAATTTTTTTCTAACCTCATAAATTTCTACTGATAAGTTTACTAGGCTATAAAATTAAAAATTAATATAAATTAGAAATCTCTTAGAAATACAATTAATTTTTTAGGCTCAAAATTGATTGTAAATTACAAATCTCTTGTGGATAATTAATTATTTAGTTAATATACCTATTTCTCGTTTTCCATGTCCTTCAGTCGCTTTGGTAAATGCAATGCAAGAAATAGCGGAAATATATACGCTATCAACGTTTATTTATAGCTGCTTTGCATGTCAGTCAGCCAATAAATTCGGCTTTTAATATATTTATGTGCGAGGTGCTTCACAGGCACACGCGTATATATACATATATATGTAGATGTAAATATGTACGTACGCTGGTAAAGTACTAGCTTTTTTGCATATAAAACCCATATTAAGGCAATGCAATTCAATGGCCGCCTAAAAGTAGGCAAGAAAAAACGAGAATTTGTGAATTGAAATGTGAAATGTGTAACACACAGTCAGTCACACACCCTTACACACCCGCACACACACACACACACACACATAGTCACACACATGAGCACTTGTATGCAGCTGCATGCCCTGTGGTATAAGGAAATTTATTGAAAACGCTTTTCATGTTGCTTGGGCGGCGTGAGAAGTGCCTTGTCCAAAGGGGGCGTGTCAGGGTGGTGTGGGATTTTTTTTTTGCAGTTGGATGTGGCGCTTATTGCATTTTATTTATGGCACAGTTGAAGGCCAAGAAAACTTGCTAGCACTTCGACTTGTATGCTTTACCAAATTGGCAGCCCGCATGCAAAAGAAACTGTAAAGAAGAAGAGGAAGAAGAAGAAGACGCACGCACACACAGACACACGCGCACGCACACTCGCACACACAGACAATTGGGAAACTTTAATTAAATGTAGCCAAGTGTGAAAATGTGTTTGATTCGAAGTTACCTCAGTTCTCAGTCATCGTGGCTCAAATCTTGGTTGTTTCAACTGTTAAATGTGTTTATTCTTGTTTTATGCTCATTCACGAATATGAGATGAATATATTGGTTTTATAAAAAGTTCGTGTTGTCATCTGTCTGTCGGTCCGTCTGTACTTCTACCCGCATAAATGCAAACCATTTCGCCGCTATCGAAGCTAGCGACTCGAGGCTTGGAAAATACATTTGTGTATAACCTGGCATTATAAACTGTCAAGATTTATCTAGGAGCGTGGCAAAGCGGGAAATGTATTTTCCGGTATTTCAGATTTAGAGTTTCAATCTATGCGTAAATCGAGTAAGCGTATAAATATATATACGAACATTATTGGCATGATGAATCGGGAAAAATTAGATATACATATATACATAAGTTTTCAAGAGCTTTAGAGCAAGATTCTCAAGATTCAAACACAAAATTAAATTAATGTTTTATTGAATAATATTCATGTTGGCATTCTCGATTGATTTGCAAAAATAATTATACCTATTTATGGCGGGAATCAGAAAATGAATATTCAATGAGTATTCTATAGTCGATTGTAGCTTTAATGCTTGTTTTTTGTTTTTTTTTTTTTTTTTGTCTATGACCTTGAAGCAGTGTTTCGAGGGCTGCGGGCGTTAGCCAAATTGAATATGAATAGTAAACGCTGCCACACAACGCCCCAAACGAAGTTTGGCTAATTAATTTGAGCGTAGCCCGAAAAATTATGCAATTAAATGCCGTTAAATGAGCAAACACACCTTTTGGCTACAGCTACAGCAGCAGCAGGAGCAGCAGCAGCAGGAGCAGCCATAGTCGACTGCCCGCCCACTCGTTGTTTTTGTTTGCGAACCTCAAAATGGCACATAAATAATTTAAATATTTACCTGGGGGCTGGGGCGAGCGGGGGCGTGGCACTAGAACTGAGCTCTTCCCACTTTAGACACACAACAAAACGTGCGTAATCTAATGCAGCAGTAAAACTGGGCAATATGTAACAGAAAAGGACAGAGTAGAAGAAGAAGAAGATGATGGGGGTATAACAACAACAACTAAATCTGAACTATGCTCAACAAAAAGCTAGTTAAAAGAAAAATAGAGAAATAAATTAGACAAAACAAAGCGTTTTTAATTAGCTGCGTAACTAGTTTGTTAAATGTAGATGTGTGTGTATGCACACAGTACGGCTCAGTTGAATAGGTTCGATGGGCTATGGAAATTTACCTTTAACGAGTTTACCTTTCCAGAGGAAAGAAATTGATTTTATTACTTAAAACTGTATAGCTTATATTAAATAGTTTTCTTTTTTTTTATACATATATACAGGTATCCCTTGTATAACGCGGTTTTATACAACGCGGTTTCGATATAACGCGAATTGGGAAAATTAGGTTTCAGTAAAACGCGAAATTTAGGCTTATCTAACGCGAAGGGGAAAATACATAATTATAAAATCTGGTAACACTAATTTTCGTGCCACATATTTATAATATGTAATGTATTGTATTTTGAATGTAAACCGGGAATTACCCTTTATTGCTTTCACAACATGTGTGAGTATACCAGGCATGCTTACGGCATATATATTTGTACTCTTGCTCATTAATATTTATTAAATTATCAGTACAGTGTCATCTTTTGTGGATATCAGGTGTTTAATAAGGAAAAACTTTTTCTTTTTCGAAATACATATATGTGCATCTGTTATTTTGTATGTATTTTATTTAAAAAACAAACCTATTGGAACATAACCCCCAAATTTATATGAAAACTATATTTTAGATAACGCGGAATTACATAACGCGCAATTTTTCTGGAACGTAACTATCGCGTAACGTAACTATACCTGTATGCTAATGTTTATTAAAGCCATACGAGGTACTCCAATAATCCCTCTGTAAGCTTATTGTCTATTGATTCTGCCCCAATTGGGCGCGCCGGCAAACTGACGTTAGCTGTTGCAATTAAACATATTTAC